TTTATATGTTATATGTATGTATAAAAAAAAATTTCTCGTGATTCCTCGATGACGAGTCTGTAAGAGGCGACAAGTTCACGCTGATCTCAGATCTCAGATCGACGATCTTCGTCCCGGGATGTCTCTCTCTAGCCGCGAGGAGCACTCATTTCACCGCGAGTGCTCGTACGCGGGTAGTGTTGTGCGTGGGTACCCCCTCGGCCCACAGATCTTCGTCGATGTGCCCGGAAATACACGGTACATCACCCGACCGCCGGTGGTTTTCAGGGCCGAGTACGCGCGCTGGTGTTTCGCCCTCTCTTAGAACATCACGAAGAAGCTGTTGTACAATTTCTTGATGCCAGTGGTCTCGCGCTGCCGGTGCGTTTCCAAGAGTGCGCAGCCTCGCGACTTGAGTGACAAAAAACGCGAAAAGACGACGAACGCGTCCTCGAATATCATTGCCACGCCTTGGCTGCAACGCATCTTGTTCTTAATTCTGTCGGAGCCTTGCTGTCCGTTTCGGCGAAGAATCTTCTCCTGCGAATAACAAATGCTTATTTTCGGAATAAAAGTGCTGACCAATCGCTGATTATTTCATGTTTGACATTCGAATGGATATGCTCAGATAACGATTCTCTTGCTACGTTTCTGTTTATTAAAATTGAAACTGCGATTATTTAAAGTGTTGATTACTATGTCAAAGTTAATTATATTGAAATTATCGTATCAAAACACGTATAATTTTCACAATAAATATGTGCAATTATTTAATGTGTTTAAATTACATCAAAATATACAGCATTTAAATATTTGCAAATGAGACAATAATGTTAATCGTTAAAAAGTTTTGCACTACAAAATATAAAGGATTATGAATATATGACAATTTCAAACAAACATATTCAAATTATTTCCTCAAATCGACGGAATACTTTAATATCGCAAATATTTCATGCATAATTCATGATTTATTCACACATGATTTATACTTTAAAATCGCATTAGTAATTTCATCTAATGTTCGATCTAATATGTCCGTATTCCGTGATTAATAGCGTGTCGATTATAATATGCTTTAATTGTAAAAAATTATTGGTAAAAATTGTTGGTTGTATAAATATTTCCGGGAAAAATCAATTGAAACTATAATCGATGCAAAAACCACATTATGAACTTCCCTGATGATTTATATAATCTGGTTTCATTAATTATCTGATATTTTTAAAAGTTAATAGATAGCTTACAATGATTTCACGATGTCGTGAAACGACATACGAGATTGCGTTACGAGATTGCAAATTTTAGATTTTCTCTTAAGAACACTCCATATATTTATGTAATTTTGAATATTTTGCTAACCTTTTTCTACGTTTTAACGAGCGACGTCTTCTCTCTGGTGTGTCTCGTCTCCCTCGCAAAAACCTACTCGAAAAAGATATCGTCTTCGTGGCGAAGAACGGAAGAAGTAAATGTCAGTTTTGTAGATCCAAAAACATTCCCGAAATAGACGGGTATCCGTGTGATGCGACACCTCGATTATCTTATCAAGATCTCGTGGTTGAAAATTGTGAACAAGTGACTCAAAAGCTTGCACTTTTTCTTACACTTGAATCTGAGTTGTGTACCGTGATTAATTCTTCATTTATTGGAAAATGGCGGACGAAGCGTCGAAGACAAGAGTAATTCTTTTCAAACGGGAGCTGCTTGCTTCTCGTAAAAACTCGAAAGACTCCAATTAGCAGGTGTCTCCGAATCGCGTGACAAGGCTTGACGTCACGATATCTCGATCGCTTTTTAACGACTATAGCTCACACACTGGATAGTGTCTTGGGTATCGGAGGCCCTCGCCTGACCGTTATCACAACATTTTCAGAATCCTTCGCTCCATGTTGCCGTTCAAAATAAAAATCCGGGCCAGGGAGAGATAAACGAGGCCTTTCGTGGCTGACGTCAGTGGTGTCTCGGGTTTCGTTCGCCGCGTTCCCCAAAAAATCTTTACGGCGGCGGAAGAAGGTCTGGTCCTTCAGGAAGAATCAGCAGCACGAAAGCTCTTCTGGCGGGACCAAAGGGACTTGACCCTCTCCACAATCACCCGCGTCTTTCTCCTTTTCAGGATCGTGTTCCTGCCGTTACTCCACTACAAAGAGACACTACCAGAGTCTTTCGAAAAGCAGCAGCCAATAGAAATGGGCCATTCAGTCGTCGAGAGAGTCAAATGTAGTCAAAAATATCTCCCGATCTTCAAGATGATGATTCCCGATAACAGAATAGCAATCTTATCTTCTTGTGTCAATGAATACTTCGTTGTAATCTTTAAATTTATTCACCACGGCGATGTCTTGATTTCACTGCTTGAATTTTGCAAGATGTTTTCCTTCGAGAGCTGTTTTCCGAATAATATCGCAATCCACTGTAAATATTCACTAAAAATCCACAGGCAATTAATCCTTCCTATCCTGATACTCTTGTTGGGTTCTTATGAAAAGCAGTTTCTGCAGGAAGAAAAGCAAAGTCCGGCTGGCAAGACGGTAGCCGATGGATTACTTGACGGTTTCAACGCAAACGCTGGAATGTCCGCGGGTGATCCACTCCAATCGTGCCTCAAGGAATTAACAACTTGGCCAATGAGCTGCACTCTCGAGGGTCGACTCTCAATTGGAACCACTCAGTGCTGATCAACGAGACGCGATCCTTTATCCTCCAACGTTGCCTCGTGTTGATTACGTTGTCTCGCGGATTCACAATTGTCACCTGAGGATCTCAATGTATTGAGGATTCTCGTTGCATTGCGGATGACTGAAATTTCTGATTTATCAGCTGCAGCTCCGCGCTCGCTTCCGATAGCCTCCTAATTTATCTCGGAAAGTCCGTCCTCTATTTTATCTCCCAGCTGCAGACGTTGCAAGTTCGAAAAGGAGAGCAGCTTCGAGTAGCTTATTTGTGTCGGTTATCAGTTGTGACGTCACGATGTTGATCAGCCAGCTGCACGTATCTTACGATTTAAATGCTTTTGTGGAAAGTATATTGTACGAAAATCGCGAGTCTTGCTTCCGAGACGTTGAAAATTTCCACGGTCATCTACGGAGATCAGGGTCCACTCCGGAATGGAACTGTTTGACGATACGATGCGACGACAGCTGCAGTAGTGTGCAACTTGGCGTAGTTCGCGACTGGCAGTCGACGGCTACGACTGCCAGCGTCGTCTCGACAGACACGAGCGACGAGTCTGCTTGCCGCGCGGATTAATTAGTTTTCGAAACGTTATCTCTGATATCGTGGCCTTTCGCGCGGCGCGACCTCGAAAGCTCCTCCTTCTGCACGCTGGTCTGTGAGAAGATGATTTTGTCTCTTTTCTCTTTTGTTTCGCTCGCGTTTTCTGCCGAATGCCCGCGAACGTCACGACGCGGTGCCGGTATGTCTGTCGTCGTTAGCACTGCCACGTGCCGGCTTCTCAAAGAATGCCTCTCGAGGACGTTTCTCGGCTCGACTTCCTGCTCGACCGTTTGCTCAGAAAATCTAGCGTTGTTTGCTGTATACGTTCTACGTTTTCCAATTTATCGCGAAATTTTCCGATTTGTAAGAATCTCTTCAGCAACTGCCACGCTTGACGAAGGAAGTCTGAAACAGTAAAAGTGATATTCATGATCTCACTACCGAGAGTGAAAGAAATTTGGATAAGAGGATTGTAAAAATATTTATTATATTTCGGTTTCTGCTTGTATTATCACTTTTTTTAAATACAGCGTCACATTAAATTATAATATGTTGTATTAAAATACATTTGTCAGCTGAAAACTTGAAATTTTCGCCGTAAGATCCATTGTTCTAGTAAACCGTCTCTTCATGGAGTGTTGGATAAACACGTTATCGTCTTCCTCATCTCGTAATTTATGGTCACGACTTCTTCACGCATCACGTCCACCTCTCTTGTTCCATGTTCGACTTCTTTCATGAACAATCGAGTAGCTTTCCTCCGGAATGGATCAGCTGTAGTTTCGTTGATCGATGTCAATCCGTTGGGTCACCGTTGCGAACTCGTCATTCGTTGCGAATCAAGCGATTCTTAGAGCGCGAACGCACTTGCACACTATCAAAGAAAAAGTCGAAATTCTGTGGATTTTTTTACGAAAATGATATAACGATGATGATTTTCGCCATCGTTTGTTATAATGTGTGAAAATCACCATTGTGTGTTATATCGTTTTTATGTCGTCCATCAATGAATTAGATGTATCAATAACTACTTCATCTTTTTTCGTTTTCATGGTTATATAAAATAATCAAATAATTTTAAAAATATAGTATATTTTTTACTGCAAAATATAAGAAGATTTAGCATTACGTAATATTTATGTAACTGCGGCGAAATAGCAATCTCTCCCTCTCTCTCTTTTACTTAAAAAAAAATTTTGATTGTGTAATAATATTAGCGAGTCACTTAATGGATTGTTTTGAATATGGCAGATTTCTTTCAAATTAAAGATTACTTTGCTCGCCTGGGTTTATCACGACAAGCTATGACCTAACGCATAATAAATGAACTTATGTGATGATCGTCATTATTTTTCTTTTGAAATGCAAAAATCCCCGAAGACAGGAAATATATCTATTTGCGCCAATCGTTTTGAATTATAATGCTAGCAATTATAAGAAATTAGAAGATTGGCGTGAAATTACAGCTAGCAAGAATAGCTTTAAGTCGCTAATTTAACGTTTAAGTATTTTACTATTAAATACTTAAGTAAAATTTATAATACTTGCTATAATTTTGTAAAATTAATTAATAGTTATATAAAATTTAAAGTAAAATACTTAAATTTACATAAGTAAAAAGTTAAATTATAATTCTGGCTCTAATTATTATTCAATAATACTATAAAATAAAAGCTATTACTATTATTGGATATATATCCAATCATGAACTGTTGTGTAGATACAATTTTATTAATAAATGGAAAAGGAGCAATTGCCACCCAGCTCGGCTCGTAATAACTTAAATTTACATTTTAATAAATCTTCAATCGCTTTAATAGAAGAAATTGCGATCTCACAGGGAAATCGTTATATATTTCATAGCTTAAATTTGATTGATGTAATTTTAACGCGTCAGTGTCAAGGAGCTCAAACGAGTTCGACTGATGTTCTTATTGACTTATAGCAAATAACGAAAATATAATATTAATATTACATGTACGAACTACTGCTTGATGATTTGAAAAGGCGTAATATCTATTTACAGGAATGCGAATGACGCGCTCCGCCGAGGAGTGTTAGTCGCTGACGTAACAATGTCAAACAAATGTTCTCTTAATTAATTATTATCGTCTTCCAGAAACCGCGTTGTGTACTCTCAGGTGTCATTAAACCGTATTATCGATCGAATTGTACATATTAAGTCGAGTGACAACACTCGTTTAATGTCCGCCGAATTTTATCGATACAATAAATGCATATACTTTTGTTGCCGCAATATTATAAGACTTAGTTTATCAGCGTTATATTTTGACGAATTCTTCGTTGATCCTCGCATATTATCAGCATCTCGGTGAGAGATAATTGCAAGCTTGCCTGTGAACCTGCCTGGGAAAACCTCAAGAGAAAAAAATTGCCGGTAATTATTGCCACGGAAGAACATGATTATTTGCTACTGAATTAAACGAATTGCCGACATGGCACTAAGCTGAACGACTACTCGCGTAAATCACGTCAGTGATTTACAATGTGCAAAGAGTTAATTGTACCTATTTTATATTGAATAATGAACGTTGACGGGCTCGCAACGTCCGAGTCTGTTTTACAATTACCATCAATTATGGATATGTGTCGGAAAAAGTAAATTTTTGATGAGCAATTTTACACGAATTAATTTTTCGTACATAATAATGGCCAATACTGTGAAAAAATTAGCTGAATTTATTAACCAAATTTTATATTGTAATTCGTTCAATCTTTTCTCCTGTTTTTTATAAAATAAAATTAAGGCAGTTTCGGGTAAAAGAAATATCTTGTCTAACGATCAAGCGCTTCAGAAGTTGCTGCTTTGCTCTTGAAGAATATACTTTGCTATCGAAAGCGAGATAAAGAATATACAGAAATGATTTTCACAATCTTCGGGGAGTGATGGTACGTCACGCTGTGTGACAGCAAACACAAGTGTTAATTCGCCATGCACACTAAGAAGCGGCAGCAGATGCGAACGCACATGGACGCGCCCGGAACGCATACGTGCGCGTCAAACCGTCAAGGTCACGTATGTACCAGGAGTTATGCTCGAACGCACGTTCATACCACGTGTAGTCTTTTGCGCCGTCCTGCTTTCGATTGAAATTACAAAACCGGTTGTAACGCACAGGTATGTAAGCTGCTGGCGCGCGACCGACGAATTAAAGAAATAATCCGCCGTCGCGCGAAATAAAGATCTCAGAAATAATTCGCTTCATGAAAACATTATATCGGAAAACGCGGATTCAAGTAACGAGTAGATTTATCTCTTCGGATATCGTTGAAAGGATATTATATTGCTCTCGATATATTAACGATTCACACAATTTTTTTTTAACGGAACGGATTTATTTCTTTATGACTATTGATATGAATATATGCAGAATGCATTACGCAAGTGAGATAATGTATCATAAAAATGTCATTATAATGCCATTTACATGCATAGATAACACAATTCATACGAAAAGTCATCACAGCAAGAACGACAAACATACGGAAGACGTCAACAACGAAATATATGCCTCGCTTCTATTTGCCGTCTCTTTTGTTCAACTTTGTGGCGTTAACATCTTCAGTTATTCCCGGAAATTGCGATGACCAATTGTCCATGCGACCACTTAGAGAGTCATTATCTTTCACAATAGACTCGCGTCGAATTTGTGACTCATTCGCGGCTTCTGCGAGCGTCGATTTCTTCCACTGCTTGCCGGCATTCTCGTTCCAGGATTCCGTCCCAGACGCGATATCGATGGTTCAGGCCCGGTAGAGTGTGCAATACCGCTTTGGAGCCCAAAACTCCGACGCTCCGATTAGCCGTACCGTAAAAGATCCGCGTGACTCTCGAGTGCAGCAACGCCATAGCGCACAAAGGACATGGCTCCATTAGCAAGAACACCCAATAACCCGTGCAGAGATACGGTCCGCATTTCTCCGTGTCACTTCCGCATTCTTCCCTCTCAGATTTGGCGCCATTATTTCTTCGACCTTTCTGCACGACTTGCGTCTCGAGGGGCGTTTGAACCGGAAACGGTAGCGAGGCTAGAGATCGTGGATAACAAAGCGGCGTTTCCTCTTCGTATCTTCTCTTGATTCTTTTTAACCGTCCCTTCGAGTTCTCACCTTCAGTCGTAGCGCACGAGTCTGCCTTCTCGTCGCCGAGCGATTCCTTTTCGTGGATAACTGAGCTTTCCGTTTGCTTCTTCGTGGCACTATCGCCACCCTCGTCATTCAATTGCCATGCACCGCCGCCGTGAAGCCTGGCAACAAGATCCACCGCCAACATGGCAGCATGCCACATAGGATGTCGATCGATTCTCGCGGCGGACACCGCCAGGATTCTTCCATCCTCGGGATCGACGACCGCCGCGGCGCCGGTGCAACGTTCGTCGCCGATCGCCTCCAGCCTGGCAGCTTCTATTACTAGCAACATAATCCGCTCGATCGCGTCCAAGCAATTCTCATCAAAGATCGAGCCGTCAATCAGGCTTTCGATCGTCTGGTCGGGATGGAAATTTACCGACCAGATCTTGGCAGCTTCGCCGGCTTGCGACTTCGTTCTTGGCGCCTTGGCTGGAACTTTTGTCACCTGAAACTTGTCCTCCAATAAGGAGAGATCAAATCCTCTTTCTTTCAACTGGTTCTTAAGTTGATCTTCATCGAGAGGAATGCCATCGTCATTTGCTCGTGATGAATCGCTCGAGCAAAGGGGAGCTAGAAGCAGCTTGCCATTGGAACAACGCTTCAGATGAGCGAATCCTGGCAAGACAGCGGATATACTTTGGATCGCTGTGGAGGTGTCCTTCCGTTGCTTCAAGACGCCTACATAGACTTCTTGTAGCGCTAGGGCTTCCGTGAAATCCGAGCCCAATATTGGTCTCGCGGTCCAGCTTCTAGTTGTAGTCTCCATTCTGCTCTCCTTGATGTTCTTCGGCGATACCATCTTCCGGCCTGAAAAGACGCTGCCTTCACTTTTTGATAGAAGATTCCTCGGCGATGATGTTTTGCGACGCGTCGCTCTATCGTTATCACACACTGAGTAGAGACTTTTACTTATCTTTAACATTATTTCTTTATTTTTCAGGAATTATTTTTTTCTTTCTTACTTCATTACACGACGTTACTATTCGTAAATTCATTATTCAAGCATGATAAATATGTAGTTTAAATACTATACTAATTTTTTTATCTACAAATCATGCTGCTTCTTTGACATTTAAATAAAATTGTTTATATTGTGTAATAAAAATTATTGCACGCGTATACAAGTATAGCTTTACACATGAAATTGGCGCAACTGTTTTTATTTTATGTTTTAATATTCGGCACAGCTATTTAACGTTATGAAACTCTATTTTAAAGTTTAGTACATTTTTCTTGTCTGTGTGATTAGGTACAAGGATTTTCTGAGTATCTACATTTTAATTTGCTACACAATAGCTAAATCTTTGAACAGATTTCTGTATAAAAAATATAAAGAATCATAAATTTCGTCGCAAAACATGGCGAGAACAAGAATAATCGACATTGAAATGTTTCGAAATATCAAACGATTGCGAGAGTGTCTTAAGGACACTTTCACGGCCTTAAATATCAATGAGATTTCGACGAGAATAAAAAAGAGAGCGGAGATGATCCTCCGCCACCGGCGCGAAAATTTTAATATCATAATCGAAGCTACTCCGCAATGCATCTTCTAAGGAGAGTAGAAGCGATTTTAAATTGCTGTCAACGTGGGCCACGGCCGGATCGATTGTCAGAGTTAGACGCAATTATATGATATCGCCGTTTGCGCGCGAGAAATAAGCAAGGCGTCGCGTTAAGAAGTTCGAAGTTCGAGCCAAAGTTTCCTTTAATTTCGATTGTATGATAAACAAGCACAAAACTTGGCTGTTAATCACCAATCGCAGTGAACTTAGCAATTATCATTATATCATAAAAACACGAAATGCGCGATACATGGAAATCTTTGATTCTCATACAAACATTTTTGAATCCATTTTAAGAAATATAATATATAAATATATGAAGCGATAAATATATATAATTGAACAATAAATATTTATAAATAAGCATCAAGAATGCGCGAGCATAAAACTTATATAAAAAATGTCAAGATTGCTAAGAAGAGTGAATTATTTAAATTAATAAGCGAATTATAACCGCATAGAAAAATTCCTACGCAAAGGTCTTTGCTAGTTGTGTAATTCACTGTTCTTGTGTGTAGTTTATGAATTGCTATTGAAAACTGTTGATTCGCAACGTCCATCGCGTCATCAATCGATCATAAATAATATCCAGCAAATCTTTACGCAAAATCTTGATTTTCCGAGAAAACTACATCTGAATAAGCAGCGCATACTAACACGTTGCTGGTGATAGACCTACTTTGCACGTTATATCAGCTGTCTGATATCTCTTATGATACCGTAATATACATTTTTCATTAGCCAAACTAAGACTTGGATTTATTGCTTAAACTTGGAAAAACACAAATTGAAAAAAACTGTTGCGCATTTTTACGATAAATGTTTAAGTACGTTTTGTTTTTTAGCAAAGAATACTTGAATTCAATTTTTATCTTCTGACTTTTATGAAGTACGCTCTTTAATCATTTTTACGACGGTCTCTAATAACAATAGCCGTCATCATCATTTGTAGTTTAATCTGTTTTGCGTTCTTCAATAACAATGTTTTCTTCCGTCAATTATTGTAATGTGTATTAACACAATTTATGATAATGCTGTTTAAGCAAACATTTCGCGAAAAAGTAGAATACCGACACGCCAAGAAGGAAATATGCATAAATTATTTTTACTTGTCATTGCGATAACTAAAACGTGATAATTAACGTAAAATGTTTATTTACTGCAATACTTCAATTACAAGAGAAATTAAATCGACCGAAATTAATCGATGAGATGGGATTTTGTTTCTAATTGAAACACAATAAACTTTTGTCTATTTTTGCATTGTATTCGAATCGAAGTGATTCGAAAATTTTCGCAAATTTTCGCAAATGCAATATTCTGGCACCAATCGCACAAACGCATTACGTTTGTTAAGATGGCGTTCGATTGTATATTCACGAAGCGTGTTCCTTATATAACAGAAAACGAACAACAAGCGAAACCCGCTTGACATCTTAGCCGCGCCGTCAATGTACCATGCGTCGCGACGCGCATTATTTCCGCGGAAATTTTCCTTTTCTCTTTTCCTCTTTTCTTTCGCGTAAGATCCACTTGCTGTAGCTTATTCGAACGTAAGCGGGAAATCGCACACGGCGACTTCGAGGGATCGAGTTCGAACGGCAACATGTCCCCCGTTGGCCTTGAGCCGTGACGTGTCGCATGAACTTTGACCGTTAATTGTTAGCGTTGCGATGTCCATAAACGCTCTGAAGCGACGCAAAGCGTCGATCCGTCGCGTCTGCGACGCGCCGTCCCGACGCCACGTGTTCGTCGTGCGCGCGCACGTATCTCACTCGAGAAATTCTTACCTGCTGCTGCTGCTGCTACTGCGACACAAAATGTGCTCCAGTTTTTCCAAATTTTTCCTCAGTCTCGATGGTCGAATGTTCGTCGAAGTTCAATGAAAATCAAAATCTTCAAACGCTGCGATTTTGCGTTGCTGATCACGTCACGTAACGAGTGAAATGCACGTGAGAATTGCACGTCGAAGTGCTCCGTTTGCGTCGTCGCGACGGCTCGTGTCTCTTTGTGGTATGCAGCATGTAGCTGTTTATCAGCAGGTCTACGATAGCGACGCCTTCTGCCGGCGAGATGAAAGACTTCGCCAAAAACAAGGACAGTCGGCCTCGGTCGTCATCGTCAGTTTCGCAGATTTTTCTTTTTTGTGTGTGAACACCGAAATTCGTAGCGAGTCGCTCATGGTCGCTGAAATAGAATTTCGAAAAGGAGATTCATTCAATACAAATATCTGATTTGTAATGTGGCAGCACGGGTTGCATCCGCAACATTGCATTTTGAAGTTCTTATGAAGATAGAATATATCAGTAGTTTTTAACAGTTGATTTTTTTATTGTATTATTTTCTTTAATAGTTTTGAAACGCTTATTGATAACAAAATAAAAAAATTTTGCTTAATAATTAAAATTAACATTCATTATGAGAAATATATTTGATATATTGACTTATATTTAATATATTTGACATATACGTGACATTGTATATGTCATTATGAAAATTATTAAATGCAAATAACAATAATTTAAGGTTAATAATGATGTAGGTTTCTATAAAAAGTTTCTTATATAATTGACTAAACTATAATTGAGATTAATTAATTACAGTTAGTTACATTTTTCATGATTTAATTATAATTACATTAATATTATAACATAACATCATGCAGTTTTTATAAACTATATTTATTTAAATTTTAAATATTTTTTATATACGTTGAAAATCATATTTAATCATTTCTCTTGTAATACGTGTGATAAATCTTAACAATTTTATGGACTTCATGCGGATCATTTATTTTCTGCAAATAAATCTGATAACATGATAGTAACACTGCGGTATTTGCACTGCTGATGGACAAGCTGACTGCAAGCATGTCTACAAGAGGTTTGAACACGTGAACACACATTCACTTAAAAGAACTTTAACGTAATCGCGCGGTATGATAAACATTTACGCGTTGCGATATTTTAATGATGATATTGTCATCACGTAACCCATTTTGATTGCTATGATAAAAAAAAATATGAATTGAAGAAATTTATCACAGAATATTAGACGCGAAACAGTTTTGATTCATATTCATATATTTAATTGATGTATATTTTATTTATTATTTATTTTATTTATAAGTTACATAGTTTATATAAGAAAGTGTGATGATACATATTATTAATATAACTATAATTCACTAGCGGATCCTGATGTCGATAATAAGGGGGGTTTTGACCTGCTTTAATGTATTTTTTACCAAGATTTTTGAAACGGATCCAGCAAAATTGATTTTTTTTTAACTTGGAAGGGGGAGGTTTTAACCCCAAAAAACCCCGCCCCCAGAATCCGCCAGTGCTATAATTAAACGAAAAAAAATTAAATAAAAAAATAAAAATGATTGTAATTAATTTAACTTATTGAATATACATTATGAGTAATCCATTTTATTATACAAACTATTGTCGAATATATAGTGTCCTAAAAAGGAAACAGTATAAATTTAAGTCTAGACGATATATTTAAAAGGATTGCAGACAGTGCTTACTTAGATGTTCCTTTAATTTATTTTTAGAAAAAATATATTAGATTTATATATACTCTATATAATATACTATATACTTTAATAATTTTTTTAACATTAAATTTAATTATATGTGTGTATGTGCATTGTCAACGTAAAACATCGTGAGATCATCGTTGCACATATCACGATAATACATGCATAAGTATAAAAGTAGTTTACCTTGATCGTACAATAATAGTAAAACTAAGAAAAACGCAGAAATATTGCTATAAATTTTTACAATAATTTTACATGTTCCTTGTTAGAATAAAGTACAATATTTATTTCTATAATTGCAAGCGCAAATTAATATTTGATATAAATGTATAGCCATATACACGTATACAGCTATCGCACATTTGGCTTTCTATTATAATATAACTCTGTTGTATTATACAATATCACATTAGCAAGATTTCTATTTTACGAGAAATTTGCATAGGTTTCGAAGTACTTCAAATATGCTTCTGCGGCGTCATATAGATATTCCAGTTGTTCCTATAAATAAATTTAATAAAATAATTCTGACTCGACTTGAGCATATTTTAAAATTTTTTATAATATGTATATTTAAGTACATGATATTTAAAAATAATATTTTTAAATACACAATAGTATAATTGACTTTGGTTTTTATTGGAACTAAAAATTAATAAAACCTTACCAAAGATTGAACAAAATCTGATCTTGACCGTCTAACCGCTCGCACTGCTAAACAAACATCGCACTCCCTTTCGACGGCCATTCGCTCCAACAGAAAACTCAACGCTAGATAGAGACCGCATCCAGTTACTCCATCACTGTAAAATAATTTTTTTTGCTTTTCGACGAATGTTTTGCGGAATATTTTTTTAAAAACATAGATTTCATTAGTTGCTAAAGATTATTTTACATTGGATCGTTTATTGTTGAAGGATTATTTGTTTAGAAATAAGGAAATATAAAATATAAATACGTCATTTTTTAAGAAAGACATAAAACTTTAAATTATGAGAAATTTTAACATTTCTTTGAATTTTTGATAATAATTTAATAATAAAATTTTTACTGGCAAAGCGTGACAGTAGGTCCATCGCCTCTTGCGATTCTTTCCGTGGCTTGCCAAAAAGTTACCATCGACATAACTGATGGCAGTGGTTGATCCTTTCCAGGTTTCCACTCCGTTAAACACAATATAGTGACAAATTGTTCTCTCGGAGGTTTCTGCAACACGAAACGTTATCGTCTTCATTGAGTTGTCAATAACAAATGAATGAAAAATATCAAATAATCAAATCGAATCTACCTCAGAATTATCAACGAGTAACAATTTTTTTGATGTATAATATTCCAATTCCACAGTGTCCTTTGTTGTAATGTTTAAGTATGGCGTTGGTGTAAACTCGTCGCTCATAGGAACGATTGCACAACAAGTCTGAAAATTCAAAAATAGATATTTATATTTATCTCTACAGAATAATATTTTTAATTAATTAATTATTACGATCTCGATATATGTAACATAGAAATTAACTATTTCTTATCTCAGTTGATTTACTTCAACTAAATGATTAAACGCGAAAAAAAACAAATTTAAATAAAAATATTTTGTAAATTTCTGTTTATACCCTGCAAATATGTTCACACTGGATTGATAAAGATACATAGAGATATGTAGAAAATATTTGCATACAGGATCTTGAAGATCAGGCGGTTGTAACATAAGAATAAGTTCCACTTTGAATTCGGCAATCATCCGCCAGAAATCGTTAATCGTTGATGGCATAGGTAGCTGTGTGGCTATATACTGATTTTGAAGTTTCACTCCATCTACGTACACGGCAGATAGATAATCGCTGTCCTCATCCGATGTCGGATATCTTTTCAAATACACTCTGCTGACTTTATCTGCATAATAAAATTAATTTTTTCTTTATTTTTATTCTGACAGTTCCATCAAAAGGATAGCCTTGATAGCAAAATGTTAGCAATATTGGCAGATTGACAGCAAAGTTGATCAAATTTACGGTCAATCTGTCAATTTATTATTAATGTCAATTTATCGTTAATTACGAACACTTTAGGTTTGTTTTCTTTATTTTGTGGTTAAATAATATTGTATTTCTTATGTTATATTTGTTTGGACTTAAAGACTTCGTGAGATAATTTTCATGTAATTAGGATATTTTCGAACCTGAAATCAGTTCTGGAAATCTGTTTTTGGCACGATTACGCTCTGATAATGGATATGAAACCGTCACTTGCCGTAGAGCTTCGTTCTGCCACGCAGTATTTTGTAGTCTAAAAATTAGGTAGTTTTATGTTTTTGTTACATTATTAACACAAGGATCGAATGCTATAATAATTACGATATACCTTTGCTGTTGAACTAATAGTTGTTTCTTTAATTCATTGATTCGTGTTGGTAACATATTACATGGCAATGCGGTCGGAATGGAAAGCAAACATTCCACCAATGCTAAATGCGCCAAAAGATATTGCTGCTTATTATCTACCATGTTCGCTCTTTCGCTTCTAATGGATGCCGTTTCAGCGAAAACGTCGACGAACTAAACAATTGTATTTTTCGGTATTGTCAACTTCGTGTTAAGATAAATATCGAATTGAATTCATTGGTGTCAGAACATTAAAATGACGATGACATATCATTACCCCTTCGGCCGCTGCACGACGGAGACAAATGTCGCACAAAATGATGGTTCCAGTTCTTCCAATACCAGCACTGCAATGAACAACAACAGGCCCATTTCCAGGTGGTGTCGCCAATAGTTTCTTCAAATACGTTACTACAGAATGTGTGTACAATGGCACACCATGGTCCGGCCAGGCTGTATAATGCAGATGTTCTATCTGTTGTATATATATGGGATTTAGCAAAAGTTATTGCGTTCGATATTGATTGAAAATGTGGATACCTTTCGAGTTTCATCTCCGCAAGTGACTTGAAAAATTCTAAAGCAATAATCCGCGAAAACGTTGTGCTTTGCATTTAGTACAATGACATCACCGTATTTCTTCTTCTTGCCAATGTCGGGCCAATATTGCTCGCATTTTGTCTATAAAATTCATAAGAATAGAAATACTCGAGAAAGTGCGCATGCTTATTATCAATCAAAGTAAATATAATTAATAATGTTTTGTCTTCAATATTCTGTCAGATCTTATAATATGCAACTTTGCAAAAGTTATTGCGCGTTTTAAATTTGATCTAAAAATTATAATAATATTCAAAACATATAAAAGCACATACCTTTCCATTTTCGATCACATTAGCCAACATACAAATAATAAGAACACGTTCTTGCCAAATCATGCGCCAAAAATCAATGACTGTGTTGGGTTTGGGTCCTTGTGTCGCTATGTAATGTTTCTTTTTCTTATAACCCTTTTTGAATAATTATTAATATTAAGTATTTAGTACTTTAATTAAAGTCACAAAAAGTTTGTATCAAATTTTTTTAAATATTTAAATGCGTTAATATTTTATAGGATTTATATTTACTTAAAATGATAACTTTAATTTCATTTTTCGGATATTTTAATAACAATTTGGACAATATTCTTAAATTATTAAAACTTTTAATTTTTTAATTTCCATTACAATTGAAATATTTGTCATTGACTTACAGTGATGTAATTGGCGTTGATATAATCTGAGTAAGCGTCATCCGGAAGTTTATTCAGTATCACACGCGTTTTATCATCTATTATCATAAACCAGTATATTCATGCTGTATGTTATAATGCAAATATAACAAGTTTACGGTCGTTTTTGTACTTACATGCTATAAGATTTCCGTATCGATTTTTAGATTTGTTCTCTGGTAATTTGCCATAATCCCACGGTTGAGTTTGTCCTCTTGGAAACGTCTTGAAAAAGAATTGCGAAATAATATTATTGTATTGTTGCGTAACTATATCTTGCAATCAATATAGTTGTTTAGAGCAATAAAAGTAATATTTGGTAGATGGCAAAATGTTCTATATATTTATATTATGGAAATATTAAATTAGTTAACATAAACTTACTTCGTACTGTTTGTCTAACAATCCTGATTGTATTGCCTGTCTGACATAATCCTCAAAATCTTTCACTTTAATCAATGATGCCGTCTCTTTCTTCTCTTCGCTACTCTCGATTGCAATCAGTGACATTTCCGGAGTGGCTGCCCGCGATAAAGACTGTCTGTCGGAAGGCGTCGATGACTCCTGCTTTGAGGTTGATATCACGGAAGTTTCATGCTCGTAATTTTCAATGTTTTGCGACAAAATTATTTCATCCTGCGGCATTACCTGCTTATCTAATTGCTGCTTTCTTCTATGAAAATCAATATATTACAGCAAAAATATAGATAATCTATATGTAATCAACACTTTATTTAACAGATAATTCTATTTAAATCATTTACACTTTGATAAGTATTAATAAATATATGTAGTCGAGAATATAACACTCGAAGATTTTATAAAAAGAATATTTTATAAAAAGTAAAGAGAAGATCATTACCTTTGATAAAAATAAAAAATTGCGCCTACCAGAATCAGACATATTATTGGTATAAACCACACTTCGTGACGCATTGATGGATCAACAGAATCAACAGGATTATCAAGATTTGTTGTATCTTCACGTTTTAATATTGTAAACGCAGTCCTTATAACAGTTAAATTCCCTTCGATTAAGACAACTGTTATATTATACGATCCTTCAGGTTTTAGTGGGCAATTCGTAGCATTACCGTAAGTATTATTGTTGCCAACAATAAATTCCTGGTTAGCAAATTCGCTGATCTGTCGCCAATTGAAAAACAAACATTGAAGATATCTAATTTTCTAAATATACAAAACAATATCATTGCTACTAACATTGCAGTTATGTGTATGTTATAATAAACTTCATTCCTAAATATATTGAATAAATTATAGTTAAATATATCAAATAAATTCTTTTAATTTAATAACTGCACTTATATATATATATATATACCTAATTATTGAAAGTTTATTTCTTACAAAAATTTTTTATTAATATAAAAGTTATATATATTGTAATTCTATGACATGTACATACCGAACCTTCTGCAGCTTGCCAAGCACTTTCATCAATCTTTATGTTTATTTGCGTTCTTAAAATTGGAGGCACTTCTAAATGTTTGCAAGGTTCTTTAGGTCCTTTTACTATGATGTGTATTCTGCTATATTGCGTATCGTTTAGGACAGGCGGAATCTTTAATGATATCGTGGAATCAAATTTCTTTACGTCTGCCATCAGATTGCCATCAAAATCGATCGTGGTAGGTGTTTGCAATATTTTGGTACTAGTGCTGCTAGATTTGTTTGCTATTGTCACAGCTTGAATGTGAATATTATACAGCGTTGATGGAAACAAATATAATTCTTGTTTATAATAACGCTCATAATTTTTGACTAGAACTTTGACTTTTATATCAGATACTATTGAAATGTTGTTCGTCAAATTTGAAAAAACTTTATGTATTTGAATAAGAAAATACTGCAAGTGTCTGCCTGTCTTCCAAGGATGATCCCATTTTACGTCAATTATACTATTGTTCTTGACTGTCAAAGTGAAATTCCCAGGTGTATCTGGTGCTGAAAAATTATATGGTCACAATATTGTCTAATCGAGACAATAATAAATTTAATTTAGTCATATTTTAATGTTTTTTTGATTCGTATAATATTAGCTATATAAATGATAAGCATAATGCTTTTTTTAGCATTTTTCTGAATTATATAGCAAATAATCATGACATGGATTTGTTAATTATAGTAAGAAAATCGTAAAATATAATTATATACAAAAA